CCCTCCCTCCCCTTCCCTGTTCTCCCCTCCCCTCCTATCCTTCCTGTCCCCTCTCCCCTCCCGTCCCCTTCCTTTCCTTCCCTCCCTTTCTCTGTCCTCCCCTCCCCCTCCCCCCCTCTGTCTCTGTCCTGTCTCTCAATAGAAAGTCTCTCCCATTGCCCCTTTCTTCCACAATGGAAGAGGATCTACGTGCCACTACTCTACTCTATTTTCCATGATTCTTTTGAACTGTAGAAGTCTCTAGACACTCTAAGAGGAGTCCCTGTTCTCCTGTTTTGATGTGTCATGTGCCACATTTTAAATAAACACGCATGTCAGAACATGTAGTTCCATGTATTCCGGAGCTGTGAGAATTTTTCCTGATTAGTAGAACACAGCACTGAGTGTAAGTACAACTTTCTGATGGCAGAGAAGGCAGGTCTGTGAATAAAAATGAGAGCAGTGGAAGAATTCCTCACCACGAATGGACAAAGTGATTAAGAATTATTACCAGTTACTGTTGAAATCTCATCGTTCTTCAGGAATACAAATCTTGGATACATTATTGCATCATTTATTTAATCACTTAATCCAATAAATATTTGAGTACCCAATATGTGCACTGTTGTAGCCATATCTTTTCTGCAATATTTTCATTATGTTAACATCTTAATATATTATTGGAACTTTCTCAAAAAAACAGGAGCCAATTTTACAGCTCGATCCAGGTCTTTTTCTGTCTTGCCTGAAACTGGAAGGCAGAAGTCAACCATCATCCTGGCTGCGTCCCTGTGCTCGGTGGTCTCCTGGCTGGCACTGAGCTGCCTGGTGTGCTGCTGGTTCAAGAGGAACAAACGTAGAAGTATGTGGGTGTGGGTGTGCGTGTGTGAAAGCACCTAAAAATCATGTGCGGTATATTTACGATTCTTCTCATCCTCTGGAGAGAAGCTTTATGAGCTTTTGCAATATATAAAATTACACGGCACTCGGGGTGTTAGCACATGCCTGGAAGCCAGACAGCTTAGGAGGCAGGAAGCTCGGAGTTCAAGGCCAATCCACAAAACTCCATGAAACCCTGTCTCCAAACAATAAGAAATAACTAAATAAATTGAAAAGATGAGATGTAGCTCAGTGGGAGAGCACTGGGTTCAGTTCAGAGAACTACAATCAGCAAAATGAAATAATACCAGGCATACTATAGGAAGCCACGTAGGTCAGTGGCTTGGGCACTCTTCTCTCACTGCTGAGACAAAATCCCTGATACACAAAATTAAGGGATAAAAGGTTTATTTAGCTCACAGTTGGTGGAGGTTTCAGTCCCTACTCAGCTGGCTCCCGGGCAGGGTGGTCGGGCAGAGGGCAGCAGTTCAAGGTGTCAGAAGACACCAAAAGCAAGAGGAGCAAAACAGGGTGGGGGGCAAGCCTCTCTCCCCCTTCTGTTGTAATCAGGCTCCCATCCCCTGGGCAGGTGTGGCACCCACCGCACCTCCACGTCCTGCTTTTGCACAGGCTCGGGATGTTTACAAAGCGAGGATCCCGGTCCCCTGCTGAGTCACTAAACTTCTCAGGTGGACAAACGTATCAACTGTTACATTCAGTTGATGTAATGAAGGCAAGAATTGGCTGATTTGAAGTAACATAAAAATCCAAGTCCCTAATCACTAGGGCCAATCTTGATCTATGCCATAACCCGGCAAAGTATGCAATCAACATGCCGGTGGGATGTACAGGAGGACACAGAGCAGGAAGGTGATCATTCAAGGCCACACAGGCACGGCAGAGCCGGGCAGCTTGGCTCTCTCCCCACTCTGGCTCACGTTGCTGCCTTCTGCTCACCATGAACTGTGTCTTCTCTGCAATGCCCCTGTGCCCTGCCTCCCTGCCCTGGAGCCCCGGATTAAGGACTGAACGTCTACAAAACCGTGAACCACATAAACCTTTCCTCCTCTGACTTGGCGTGTCAAGTATTTTGTCTCAGCAATGAGAAATATAACTAAGACAATTTCTTAAACTCTGACTATATTGCATGCAGTGTTTTGCACATGTCTCATTACCATACTGAGGGGAGTATATCCGACAAACACCTTAACAGTTAAGGCCCATTTATTTTGTCTTTTTATTTTATTTCATGTACTTAGTACAGGGTCTCACTACGCAGCTCAGACTCGTAGTGATCCTCCTGTTTTCAGCCTCCCCAGTGCTGGGATTGCAGGCGTGTGCCACCACGCCGTGTCTTGGTGGTGGGCTCAGCATGCCCGCGGGCCAGGGCCAGCAAGGCATGTGATTCTGGGGCTCGAACTACATCCCTGCGCCTGCACAAGCAGGCACTGAGTTCTCTGAGCTCTCTCACTGGCCTGCAAGGCCCGTTTAAAGATGGAACTGTTATTTTTATGTTAAAAAAAAAAAAAAAAAAAAAACTTTTTTTTTTTTTTTGATACCAGAAACAAAACCTGAGGAAATTTCTGAGTCCCAGACTCGTGATCAGAAAACTCCACCCCAAGTGTCTTCCAAATGGCGAGCATCACAAACAGATGCAGAAAAGAAAGGCACCAGGAAGGCAGAGGGTAAGTGCGATGGAGGGGAGGATTCCCTCAGGAGAGGGCCGCCGGGTCCCCTATGGGTTCCTCTGCCCCTGGGGCTCAGCTTCTGACGCTTGTCAAGTGCTTTCTCTAGTTGTTTTGTCCGTACTCTTTCCCAAAATAATGCTACCTTGCCACAGGAATACGCAGTCAGGCCCATTTGCTCAGCTGTGACCCGTGTTTAAAATGATGTTCACACATTTTTTCTTAGTAGTAGATCATTGGTTTAGTGTTTGAATTAGTTATAGCATGAAAAGGGAAAAACAGATACTGCTGTACAATCTTCCTCTTTTCTGTTCCAAAGCTACCAGTTTGACAACCTTATTGAATATGAAAAACCAGGGAATGTCCTTATCAAACACCCTCTATGCAAACTAGATAGAGTACTAAAACCTCAAGAAATGAATTAGCTTTAGTAAACTCTGATTTGTTGTCTGGCTATCTATTTATATCTACCTATTTATTGATCATCTATCTATCTATCTATCTATCTATCTATCTATCTATCTATCTATCTATGTATTTGTGGGATGAGTTCAGACTGGCCTTGAACTCACTATGTGACCTAGGCTGGCTTTGAGCTCACGGCCTTTCTCCTGCTTCAGCCTCCTGAGTGCAGGGGTGGCAGGCATATGCTTCCATGCCTGGCTGGTGGTACTTCTAGCAAGATGCACTGGTTGCCTGCATCTGCGTGCCCCCAGGTGGGAAGGAGCCCTGGTTAGTGTCTGTGCAGGTGTGTTTAGCTAGTTTCATTGCTCCCACCTTTTCCCATGGAGACAATAAAATGTAAAATAAAAATTATCTAAATCAGCCAACCCCTAGGCCTACAGTAAAAGGGAACAGTGAGTAGAGGAGATGATAGGGGTAGAAGTAATGGGAAAATGCTGATGGAGAGAAATGTACAGAAAGTCTCACCAGATTCCACCGAAGATGGCTTTGACTTTGTCTGTAGTACTGATGCAAGCCCAGGCCAGGTGTCTGGTCTGCCATCTGAATCCTGCTGCTTCCTTGTGCAGCCTCACCCTTCAACAGCCCCAGAAGCAGGGCTAATCTCCCCTAATCTAATATGGTCATCTACATAATTCTCAGTTGACTTGCTTCAATTAACTTCATTAGGCAGTCCACAATGCCTGGGTGTTTTATTAAGGAACATTTTTTATGTGGTAGCTTATTAATAAATTATCAGAAATGAGGCAAGGGACACAGCATCTGTGTGAAAGTTTAGATTGAAGAGACAGGAGCATCAAAGAGACCATTTTATTAGGACATCCAAGCTGAAAAGAGAAAGATTTGTTACCTAAATCCCACCCCGGGGATCATGGTTGATTTATTGCCTTATTTCCTAAGCTTTGTCTAAATCTTAAGAGCATCTTTTATAAGGCAAGTAATGAGGCATCTCCTGTTTTCCTTTGGAAATTATTGTCTGTTGCAAACACGTAATTGTTGCTAGCTCGGAATGGATTTGGTTTCATTTCTCTACATCCATGGCACTTTAGTTTTCCTCTTCCCTCTGTGTTTTTAAACATTGACATTTACTAAGTGAGTGCCTGGATATCTTACACATCAGCATCTTGACTAAGGACTACCGCATCACTGAAGATTATTTGGCTCATGGGTGGGGTGGAATTTAGATCAGAAACTTAGCATGTCGTTGCTTTGACCACATTTCCCATGAATACCCTGGAGGTGCTAAAGAGTCACCTTCGAGGAAGGGTGGGGGAGTGAAGGATATGCTCTCCACCCTGCCCTGCTGCCAAGGTTGTTGATGTGCAGAGCCACCACAGTCACCTTTGAAACTCCATATCTGATCATTTTGTTCTGCTCCTCGTAAGATTGGATGAGTTCCTGCTATCAGCTGATCAGGCAGGAGAATGTGGCAGTTGGGGCGTGGAACCAAGGACCAGAGACGAGTCTTATAGCTTCCCTGTTGACTAACTTTATGTCCTCAAGCAAGATAATTAATCTCGCTGAGCTCTTTCATTTCCTCTTTGTTAAATTTGGCACGATAATAGTATGTAGGACTAATGAACAGGTCCTAGCATATTGTATGTATTATTTATTAATGTGTTTTTTTCTCATAGTTATTTATGATTTCAAGCTTTCTAAGATTTGACTCTCTCCTATTATGGTAACCTCACTGTGGATTCAAACTCCGGCCCCCTGCTCCTCTCCATGCATTAACTCATTCATCCTCATGTTTCTATAAGTTCTTCCTGATTCTTTGCTTAGACAGTGTCTTCTAGTTGACGAATGTGCCTTCATCTCTTAAATAAGTCCCAATCTTGAGGCAAGTGTGGGTGTGCATTTTTCTTCACAAAGTCTTTTGCAATCTTCCTTGCTTTTTCAAAGTGAATATTAACTTCTTTGGGTTGAAAAAAGAAAACTACTGAGCATGGGATCCTGCAGAATACTGACTTTCCTGGTTCAGATAGATCACATGCCCACAGAGCTGCCCTGCCCCCACCCAGGTCACCTGCTTGGCCTAAGAACGCCAGTCTGAAAGTGGAAAAATTTTGTGTCCTGGTCATTTCCTCGGAAGTCTTAAGCCGTTGCTTATGCTAACTTCAGAGAACATCTGTAATGTCTGGAGGCATTTTTCTTGCCATAACTTGGGAGATTTGGAGGGTTATTAATAAGGATGAGAGACCAGAGATGCAGGAAACATCACGCAGCGTGTGATGCTGTCGCTAGCACTCAAAATGTCAGTAGAATAAGGTACTAATCAGCTCCGCAACATTTGAGTGAGAACCTCCTGGAATTGCTTATTAGTACAGTCAGATTTTATCTCTCCATGAACATTACATGAGTATTTATTTAGTTTATTATAAGATCTTCTCCGTATAGTTCAAAGAACTGGGGGGCCAGGGAGATGGCTCAGTAGGATAAGCGCTTGACTGGCAAATGCAAGGATCTGAGTTCAATCCCCGGTTCCGTCAAAAAAAAAAAAAAAAAAAAAAAAAAAAAAAGAGCTGGTGTTGGTTCTCTGCTCTGTGCACATTTCCAACATGGCTGGGGCACAGGAATATATTTTGGAGATGATTAAGCAACAGTTCCACTCAGTAAATGAGCTAGGGTAAAGCAATCAGAACAAATACTGTGCACTTGAATACCTTAAACATTGGAGGAAAGGCTGAAGGGAAGGAAGTTCTTTATCCTGAGGTATAGGGACAGTCCCCGTAGATTGTAAGTCATGTCATGGTGTTTCCGTGCCCACTTGTTAAGGGCTTGTTGACCATTTTGCCAAAACTCAGGTCTGTAGAAAGACCAGGGGCCAGAGAAGGGGCCCTGCTGTGCTCTGCCAAACAGCAATCTTGCATCACTTTTTCTCAACTGTGACTTTGTTTCCTTAAATTGGAGACTAGTCCCTGAACCTTGCAGCTCAGACACCTGAGAGCTCAGTTCCTAGGTCCTCCTTCTGGGTCTGTCCTCTTTCTGCTTGCCAAGTTTTATCAACTCTGCTTCTGTAGGGTCCTGAGCCCTCTTGTCTCTACTTCACTCGTGTCAGAGGCCTAACTTCGGTCCAGTTCAGTCCTGTGGGTTCAGCCCCCGCTTCCTGGCCCCCCTCTCTTCAGGCAAGTACGTCCTGCATGTTACATAAGCTTCTACGTTTCCAAGTGTTCTTCTCCAGCATACCCATATATCTGCATCCTACTCCACTCAAGCATAAATGAAACATTTTTCAAATTATCTAGAAAGAGTAGTTCCCATCTTTCAAGTCTTCTAACTTTACTCTTGTGTTTACTTACTGTCTCAGTTACTTTTCTCTCATTTCTGGGACAAAATACCTGACTCCTAAAATTAAGGAAGGAGAAGTTTATTTAGCTCATAGGTCGTGGCAGTTCTGTACTCGGCTGGCTCCAAGGCAGAGTGGCACGTGGCAGAGGGCAGCAGTTCATGGTGGCAGAAAACAGCAAAGACCAAAGGGAGGAGCAGCACTGAGGCAGCTAGCAAGCCTCTCTCCCCGTCTTACATTTGTATGCAGATTGTCTGCCGCAGGGCGGGTGTTAACACTCACACCCACAATCCCAGCATTGGATCATGAATTAATCGCAAATCTAGAAGCTGCCCCATGACTACATGAGGCTTTGGGGAGACCACTAGACACAAACCATAGCACTTACCACTTTTTATATGTGGCATAGTTCTTTGTGTTCATCTTATCTTTGATTTAAATTCTGTTATCTTTTTTATCCCAGTATCTGTTTTACTCTAGGAACCTATGACATACCACTGATACTTACTGAGTGCAAGGTGAAGACAGACAAAATAATTCTCCCTTCTATACATTTTCCTTGCCAAAGACCCCTGGAATCCAGGGTTCCTACAACTGGAGTAAAAGAGCTCTCACTTTTTAGAAAAGTGGTGTGAAAATGTATCCAGTTTATATAATTAACAAGTGGGGAATGGCCGCTGATCTTTTAGGTCATACCAATGGGGACAGGTGACTTCCTGCTTTCAGGCAGTACACGCAGATGGCCATGGAAGCTTCCTCTTTCTGGTCCCTTGCCAGGCACAGCTGCTGCTCAGATCTCAGAACCATGGCCTCCAGCTCAGGCGCTCTTCTTCGGCCCCTTGCCGCTGTTCTTTGTTGAATGCCGGCACCAATGGTTGGGAATGGAAAACTGATGTGTATGAAAGGCTGCCCACTGTGTGCAAGTGACTATAAACATCAATTCAGGGACTTTTCTTCTCTGCACTGTGTATTGCTGCACTGCAGAGAGTGGCTGAAGACGTGGGCTAGGGCGTGTGTCGAAGCCTCGGAGAATGCCAGGAAAAGGAGAAGAGCTGAATGGCCTGAAGATATGTAGAGGAACCAAACTGGAGGAACCAAAGAGCTGAGACACTTTCTCAAGCTCCCAGAAATGCAGATTATAATTGGACATCATTAGTGGATAGCATGTTTACATTCCATAAGGAAAAATGTGTGACTTTAACCTACTTTAAAAGTGGAAAAATTCTGGGTATTTGTACTTTAAGAAAAAAAA